CCCATTTTATGAAACGATTACGCTAAAATAAGGACATGAAATATGTTCAATAATGATTTGTGATTGAGATCGAATGGCAGAATTATTTGTGACCGAATACACTGGCTAGAACAGCTATGCATTGTATACGCGAAAAGAGTAGTATGACAGCTACAAATACTAAAAAAGGAGGCGATCTAAGCCGAAGCCTCAAGCGGGCGCTTCACTACTAATGGAAAGCAAACATCATGCAAGCAAATGAGGAAAAAAGGAGATGAATGAAAATAATAGCAGAATGCTCTATTTATTTGAATTCTAGAGGCTGCTCCAGAGATTGAACAAACAAAATGTACAAACCGACAGGAATCGCAGAAAAAAGAAGTAGAAAGGGAATTGATCAAAAGTGCCAAAAAGAATCAGGACAGAAATGTCCGATGAGGCTGTTAAAGCTTGTAGGCATGCACAACCGTTTGTCAAAATGGATCGTATGATGCGACTGTATTACAGCCTAATATGTGGGCTCAAGTCAAAAAGTTGCATTCAAACAAAAGTTTGTATAAATATGAGAAGAATAAAGCTACGCCTATAACATCCGTAAAGGGAGAATACCCAGTGGGGCATTTCAATCCCTGAAAATGTCTTAGCAAGTTGGAACTTCAAAAATTTACAATATAATAAATGAAAAGCCAAAATATCATTTTGTGTATGAAAAATAGAGAAAAGAAGAAAAAAAGTAAATGAAAAAATATATACATATGGAGATAGATCAGTGTCCAATGCTGCAGAATAGTTGTTAGGACTCATTAAACACTAAGGAAGCATAACAGTGGCAATAGATGTTCACAGGACGATGCTGAGAAAAAAATTAAAGTCATATTAGGAATATATAAAAGTTGTCATAGATACCAAGTCCTGGTCACAAGTGCTTCAAGGAAAGGAAACCAGTCTCAAGAAAAGTGAAAAGAAAAAATATTAGTAATGGATTGTAAAATAGATCAAAGAAAAAATGATAAAATAAAAAATGATAAAATAAAAAAATTATGCAGTATGTGAAGAAAGTGTTTACTAAAAGACTTGATTTCCGACGTAAAATGTGAAAAATTTTGTCATTAATTAAAAAATTATAATAGGCACAGTGCATGTATGAGAAGAGGAAGCAGCATGGTGGACATGGCCTTAGTTGACTTCAAATGGCAGTGGAATGTAGATAAAATTTAGGATTTAGAAGAGAAAAAATATACGCGTGAGAAAAGGTCTAAACCTCAAATCTAATCAGAAAAGTGCAAGAATTATACAAAAGTAATACTATAAAAATAAGAGACTCGATTGACTAAAAACTTGAACACTTCTGATCTCATTGTCAAAATATGGAGCTTCCACTAAGAACAGCAAATATAGGTAAAAATAAAGAAAAAAGCA